CTGATTCATCCCTTGTGCTTTTAGGGGTCCTGGTGGCCCCACAGGGGGCTCAGGAGGGAAAACCTTGTCTGCATGGGGGGTTCTGAGGGGAAAATCTGTGTACAGCCAGTAATCCCAGAGTTATGGAGGCTGGAAAAGCCCTCCCAGCCCATGGATCCCCCCTGTGCCCCATCCCCACCTTGTCCCCAGCCCAGAGCACTGAGTGCCACGGCCAGGCCTTCCTGGGACACCTCCAGGGCTGGGCACTCCAAACCTCCCTGGGCAGCCCCTGCCAAGGCCTCACCACCCTTTCCAGCAGCAAATTCCTCCTCCTGTCCAACCTGAGCCTCCCCTGGCACAGCTGGAGGCCGTTCCCTCTCCTCCTGTCCCTTGTTCCCTGGCAGCAGAGCCCGACCCCCCCCGGCTCCCCCCTCCTGTCAGGGGGTTGCAGAGCCAGAAGGTCCCCCCTGAGCCTCCTTTTCTCCAGGCTGAGCCCCCCCAGCTCCCTCAGCCACTGCTTATATCACTGACTCTCTAATAACACCCAATATTATTGCAATAACATCTCTCTTAGTCAGGTCCCCAGACTGAGCCTGGATGAGACTCACAGGGTGCGAAGTCTGGCTTAAACCCAGGATGTTCATGAAAAACAAACAAAATCCCCCATCTTTAAGTATGTGTTTTGTTTTTTTTTTAAAGCTGAGAAATCCAACCAGCCCACACAATTTGCTGATGAAAATACAGGAAAGGCAAGAGGGTTGGTGGGTCTCCCCCAAGGCCCAAGTATTCATGAACACTGAAATTACACCAGGGAGGTGGAGGAACCTTCTTGTGGAAGGCATTCCTGCCCAGGGCAGGGGGTGGAACAAGATGATCTTTAAGGTCCCTTCCAACCCAAACCCTTCTGGGACTCTGTGGTTCAGGCCCCCGTGTCCCTGTTAGTGAAGATCAACACACCCCAGGAGGAGAAGCTGCCCTAGATGTAGATGAGGAATCTCAGGACACATACAGAACAAATGAGATGTGCAGGGCAGTGGTGGAAAACAAACATCTAACATGAAATTTTCAAAGGAAACATGAAAAGTAGGAATAGAAGGGACCCTGAGGGATCTTGTGGTCCAGCTGCCCCCCTTGAAGGACAACAGCTCACCCAAACCAACCCAGAAGAGTGTTCAGTAAATCTGATCTAATGTTCCTGGTTGGCACCTCTGTACCTCTCCAAAAGCCCCTTGTGCCTGAAAGGAGCCCTTGTGCTGCATTTCCTGGGGGACTTTAATTATTTTGTTCCTAATAGGTCCTTGTGTTACCTCACAGAAGGTGCCCCCACTTGGGTTTGGTGCCATCTGAGCGCTGGAAGGAGACTGGAGTCACACCAAAAACTGTGAATAGTGAGGCAGAATAATAAAGACCACGTCAGTCTGGGACATTCACATGGAATACAGTGATTAAAGGGCAGATCCTTCAGGGAAGATCAGCTCTGCACCGTGACATCAGCAATGTTCACACCCAACGACACCACTGGTTAACACAAGCAGGGGATAACGGCAGCAACACAACCACATCCCTCTTCTTTGGTGATGCAGAATTGATAACTGCGTCTGGAGACAGTCCTTTTCCAGGCAGTTTTGTCTTCACTTTGTGGTGGTTTCATTTAGACTGTTCTGTGCTCCCCTGTTTCCGAAGGTGTGACATGGGACACGTCCCTGGGCAGTCCCAGCTGGGCCCCCGTCCCAGTGCAGTCCCAGCAGGGCCCGTGCCATCCCCTGCTCCTGCCCTGGCAGCCAGACGTGCCGCCCCAGCTGCAGCAGAAATTACAGCTCCTTGGCACAATTTGTTCCTAAGAAATCCGTGGTTGCTGCTGCCATGTGTGCTCCACAAAGACTGGCCTTTCCTGTGTCACTATTTTTCAGGAAATGAATGTTAATCTGACTGGTTCTCTGCCCTTTTCCACCTCTCCCGTGGCAGGCCCTGGGGTTACCTCCCTCCACACTGGTTTTCACTCCCATTTATCTTCTGTTTATCCTCCAGGATCTCTGCCAGCAGCCCTGGGGCTGCTCCTGCCCCTCTCAAAGTGCTCCCAGGGGAATTGTCACCCTGCTCTTACCCTGTCCTGCTCATTTAAAACCATCTGTTTCATTACTTTCTTATTTTTTCCCTATTTCCTCTGATTTCTTACTTGGCTGCTGATGTTTGTTAGACTACTCCAGGAAAAATAATTTATATCTAAAAAGTAAAGCCTCCCATTCCTGGTCACACCATCCATCACTCTCTGTGCCTCCCCAGCATCTGAATACCAAAGCAGCTCGTACATCAATCTGTGCTCACTGAATGCAAATCACCTCCTGCCTTCCCATCCCTTACACTTTTGCTTTCCATGCTCTTGCTGCTTCTTTCTGTAAATCATCACTCCTGTTTTCTTCTCATGCCAGGGATCACTGCAAAGGTGGGGATTTATGCTGATACTTTCTAGTGCTCTTCTTGGTTAGTCATTCCGTTGGTGTGGTTTGGGAAAAAAAACCTGCTGTTTTGATTCCATCTGTAACAAACTGAACGACTTCCTGAAATGTGTCCTCCCAGGCACTGTCTTTGTGTGATCAGAGAATCCTGGAATGGTTTTGGGTGGAACATCCAGTGCCCTGGGCAGGGACACCTTCCACCAGCCCAGGTTGCTCCAAGCCCCGTCCAACCTGACCTTGGGCACTTCCAGGGATGGGGCAACGAGGCATCTCCAGCTCGGTTTTCCCAAGCCCACCTTGCTGAAGTCAAGTGCTTTCAGTTACAAAAACCAGACAAAGAAGAGCAAATAGAAGCCCAAGAGAATGAAGGTCTTTGGCAGGGGAGGTCCTGCTGGGTGGCACTGCTTCTCTCCTTGGAACCACCCCCATGGACACCCCGGAAAATGCAACATTCCTGCTCGAGCCCTGGACAGGTGTCAGAGATCCCAGTGGGGAGAAAGGTTTTTTGGGACAGGGTTGAGACCAAACAGTTTCTCTTCATCTCACCCACCAAGTTCTGCCTCCCTGCTTGCAGTGCCTACTTCCAGTTCTCCCTCCTGTCCTGCTCCATCCGTCATTTCTGTCACAGGAATCAGCCCCAAGTGTTCCCTTTCCCTGTCCCTACCTGGGGCAGGCAGGGCAAACCTCACACCCCCCCCATGGGCTAGGAGACATTTCTGAGACTAAGCCCTGCTCAGTCCTGGGGTACCTTCAGCTTTTGCAGGCAACATACTAAATTGAGAGAGATTAGATTAAATGTAACATATTAAACCTAGAGAGGGAAAGGAAAACCTGCTTCTCTGTTTCATGTAAATGCAAGGAATTAGAGACCGGCTGTGACAGAGGCTGCATCATGAGGAGCATTTAAAAATAAAAACAGTGAGCCAGAAAAGCTTCTGGAAACATCTGCTTTTGATCTAAAAACTCCTGAAAATATTTGAAGTGCCACAAAGCTCTGCAGCCTGGACTTGGCCTGACTGGGGCACCCCCAGCATTGCCCCGATACTGCCACGGGCAGGGTGGGAGCTCCAAAGGTTATTGGGGACACCCTCCTGCTGAGTCACGGGGGGCAGAAAGGACCCCCAGCACCCCCCACAGACCCTCCAAAACCTCCCTAGGACCCTCTGGCTTCCTAAACTCCTTCCCAGACAGGAGTCTGGGTGCAGCTGCATCCAACCCCAGCCCAAGACTTGGTCAATGGTTCATATCCAAAGGATTGTGCAGCTGTGACTGAACCTTTGTACAGCTTTGTCTCACGGGATTAAGGATGGCTAACCAGATATATGTATATAAATAAATTGTTTATCACGATCACAGTTAGACTGAAAGATCTCAATCAGAATTATTTACTACACAATATAGCAGCTACAACTATTTTTAAGCAATATTGGAGCAACTATAATAAAGTTAACGAACCAATTATTAAGCAGAGATTGATATCACTCACCCAGACCAACAACCATGGGCAAATCTCTTTGGCTCAACCTCGAGGGGTGACCTTGATGGGTGTCCTTAGAAGGTACTCTGAGAAAGGCTCAGAAGACCCTCTCATTAAAACTGGGTCTGGGCTTCTATAGGATAAAGCACTGGACTGTCAGTCAGGTGTCCCTGGGCTGTGCCAGCTCAGCAGCTTTAGGTGAAGCATCAGTGCTATCACCTGGGGGGTCCTCTCTCAGGTACTTCACCAGCTCTGCCACACCTTTGCCTCAGGTTGGTTGAATTTTGGGATTGAGGAGCCAGGCTGGTCCAGCTTTACCCAACCCCCAAAGCAGTGACTCTCCTTTTCCATCCCCCACCGACAGCTTTGCAAGCAGGGGAGTGTTCAGGGTGTTCTCCTCCACTCAGGCAGAGCCTCCCACTCTGCTCCACTCCCCCCTTCCTTTCAGAAGCTGCTGAGGTTTTGCTGGAGGTTTGTTTCTGCTTCAGAGGAAGGAAAGCCCCAAATAAGCACAGCAGCACAGAGCTGCTCTGAGGGCTGGAGCCCCTCTGCTCTGAGGGCTGGAGCCCCTCTGCTCTGGAGCCAGGCTGGGAGAGCTGGGGGGTTCACCTGGAGAGGAGAAGGCTCCAGGGAGAGCTGAGAGCCCCTTGCAGGGCCTAAAGGGGCTCCAGGAGAGCTGGAGAGGGACTGGGGACAAGGGCCTGGAGGGATAGGACATAGGGAATGGCTTCCCACTGCCAGAGGGCAGGGATAGGTGGATTCTTCCCTGTGAGGGTGGGGAGGCCCTGGCCCAGGTTGCTCAGAGAAGCTGTGGCTGCCCCTGGATCCCTGGAAGTGTCCAAGGCCAGGCTGGACAGGGCTTGGAGCAACCTGGGCTGGTGGAAGGTGTCCCTGCCCATGGCAGGGGGTGGCACTGGATGGGCTTTGACATCTCTTCCAACCCAAACCATTTGTTATTTTATGACCTTTCCTACCCCCCAGGACAAGCTCCTACATTTACAGATCCCCCCCCCCCCCAGCCCCGCCCCCTTCCTCCCCCCGGGGCACTGCCCTCTCCTCAGCAGAATTTCACATCAGTACAGCAAGGCTGGTCCAGAGCACAACTTTATTATCAGCCCCACTCTTCAGGGAGTCCCAACAGCCCAAAGGACCTGACACCAGAGCTCAGCCAGGCCAGCACAGCCATGGGGTGGGAACAGATGTGCAGGAGCTCCTACATCAGGGCAGAGATTGCTTTGCCCTTCCCAGGATGGCAAGGAAATCCCTGCCCTGGTCAGCTGGAAGCTGCTCACACTCAGCACTCACTGGGGTGTGTGACCAGCTGGGACAGACAGACCCAAGTTAGCTGTGCCAGCTCCTCTTGCAGGGCAGCTGGAGCAGTCCAGGCCATGTCCCTTTAGGAAACAGTCACAGGGACCCCCATCCATGGGATCCATAGCCTCTGGCTGCCTCAGGCAGCAGCACGAGGGCCAGAGGCAGCAGGACCAGGACAGACCATGGCAGAGCACACACAGCGTGGTCACTCTCAGGAGCCACGTCCTCCAGCCCAGCAGGGGAGGATCTCTTTTTCCAAGAGTAGTACTTGGCCACAGCCACGTTGGGGTTCCCCTGGGCAGGGTCAAACCACATCTGGATGCAGTGCCCGCTGCCCCTGCGTGCCGTGGTGTATCTGTACGAGTGGGACCAGATCTTCTCACACAGGTCTTTGGGCTGGGGGAAGACCTCGCTGAAGGGTCTGCACAGGGAGCCCCAGGGACAGCGGTTCCTTCCTGGGGACAGAGCACCACAGGAGGAGAGGTCAGCACGAGCACTGGGCCAACCCTCCCCTGGTGTCCTTTCCCTGCCCACAGCCCCTCATCACACCAGGGCTGAGGGGAGTGGCTTGGCCACCTTCTAGTTGGCAGCCCTGGAACGTGAGGGTGATTTGGGGTCCTGGCAGCAGTGACACCACCAGTGACCCGCCTGGGGGAGCGAGGAGAGGCTCCCCACAGCCCACCAACCTGTTGCCCAGTTCCAGCCCTTGTGCCAGTTCTCCTTGCAGGTGACAGCATCCCTGCAGTCCTGCCACCACTGCTCGCAGTCCTCCTGGCACAGGGGCACGTGGAGAATCCTCTCCCGACGCCAGCTGCTGTCAGCCTGCAAGGGGACAGGACCAAGCAGGCTGGGGAAGGGGCCTGAAAATCAAGGGCAGGATCTGCCCCATCCCAGATCCCCCCCAGCCCTTCCCACTGGGCTCCAGAGCTGATCTCAGAAGTGTTTCAGCCCCTGCAGAGATGTGCCTTGACAAAAGCTCTTCCATCAGTCAGACAGGCCTAAGTAGTGGCCAGAAAAGTCTTTGGAATCTTTCCACCCAGTAGGAAAGGTTGGGACAGCCTAGATTTTTGGAAGGAATTCTTCCCTGGGAGGGTGGTGAGCCCCTGGCCCAGGTTGCCCAGAGAAGCTGTGGCTGCCCCTGGATCCCTGGAAGTGTCCCAGGCCAGGTTGGACAGGGCTTGGAGCAACCTGGGCTGGTGGAAGGTGTCCCTGCCCAGGGCAGGGGTGGCACTGGATGGGCTTTAAGGTCCCTTACAACCCAAACAGTTCCATGACTCCATGATCTGATCCTACCTCGTCGATCCAGGGCCCCAGGTTGGGGGAACACTCGTACAAACACGTGTCCTGGATGAAGTGGCGCTTGCACTTGGGTGGCATCACCCCACAGTGGTTCCAGTTGAAGTTGTACAGGTTGGATTCGTCCTTGTGGGCCTCTGAACTGGTGTTGGCTGTGCAGCAGGCATTGTCCTTCCAGGGAGAACACTGTGACAGAAGGAGGGACAGGCTGTTGGGGAGGGCAGGAGCTCCAGGGGGTCAGAGGATGCTGCAGGTGCTGGTTCCCTGCAGGGCCCCCAGCAAGGAGTCTTCAGCAGCCAGAGGATTTTCTGTCCTCCAGCAAACCCTTGGGCACTTTAGACTGAAGAGTTCTGGGCTGGAGCCCTGGAGGAAGAGCAGGAGGTCAGAGCCTCACCAGGAATGAGTCCCACCCTGAGGAAGAGGAGCAAACCCCTTCTCCTGCACCCCAACTTGCTCTTAGCCCCATCTCTGCCAAGGGCCTGGGGCAGAGCAAGGAGAGTCTCCAACACCAAGAGGGAGCAGAGGAGAGTCTTCCCTTTCCATGGGGAAAAGCTCGAGGGTACCTGAGCTTTGGGAAGGGGAGATGTCCTGGTTAAAGAGGGGTGACACTGAGCTGACAGCTCCTCACACCACTGCCCCTGCCCTGGCCATTTGCTGGAAGAAGGCAGCAAACAAACAGGTCTCATACCCAGCGTGGGCTTTCTCCCTCAGGCAAGGAGCAGCCAAGCCCAAAGCAGCCCCCAGCATCTGGGGAGGTGGGTACAGGGGAGCCCAGACAGCCCCACGCAGCCCCCCCCAGCTCATACCTGGTGGTGCAGCTTCCCCTCGGGGCCAGGCTCGCTCTTGTGGTGCTTGGCGTCCATGCACACGTTCAGCAGCGGGTCCCTCGCCGGCAGCACCGCCCCGGCTGCCAACAGCACCAGCAGCACCGGCAGCACCGGCAGCACCGGCCCCGCTGCCATGGCACGGCCAGCCCGGGGACCGGGCACAGGGGACAGGGACAATCGGGAGGGGCTGCGGGACAGGGACAGCTCGGGGACCGGGACTGCGGGACAGGGACAATCGGGAGGGGCTGTGGGGACAGGGACAGCCCGGGGACCGGGCAGAGGGGACAGGGGCAATCGGGGACCGGGCAGAGGGGACAGGGACACTCGGGAGGGGCCGGGCACTGGCAGCAGCTCGGGAGGTGCTGCGGGGGCCGGGCACTCCCGGGATGTGCCAGCGGCTCACGGCACCAAGGACACAAGCACAGCCTCCCCCGGGCAGGGCTGCAAGGTCAGACACGTTATCACCGGGACAGCGTCGGGAAGAACACCCTGGGATTGATCAACACCCCTGAGGGGAGCGGGGTCCTGTGTGAGACCTGCTCAGACTGGGGTCCTTTGCCACCCCACTGCTTCAGAGGGACCTTCCAGACCCCAAACCTTTGAACCAAGGCAGGGGTAGGTCAGGGATCCCTAGAGAGTGTTCAGGGGGGGCAGGAAAATGCACAGACACCTTGGGTGGACCATGAGCTGCAGGAGCCCCACCTTGTCCTCAGGCATATGTCAAGACAGAAAAGCTTTTTTTTTTTTGTTTTATCTGTGTCTGGGACTTTGGAGACCCTCTCCTGAGGGGAGGGTTCCCTCTCCAGGGGATACCTGAATCATAGAATCCCAGAATGGTTTGGGATGGAAGGGACTTTAAAGCTCAGCTCATCCCACCCCCTGCCACAGGCAGGGACACCTTCCAGTAGCCCAGGTTGCTCCAAGCCCCATCCAACCTGGCCTGACTTGAGCAATAAAAGACATTTCACACCATCATGCCTTGGGATGATGCCTCTGCCTGCCTGGGACAAATTTTATCATAATTTACTAAAAAAGCCCCAAACAACCAAAAAACCCAAATGGCCAGCAACAAGACCCAAACAAGCAAATTCCCTGCCATTCCTCATCAATACAGCACAAGGGTCTAAACCAACTGCCTTTTAAGAGGGATTTTGCAAATCACAGGAGCATAACAAAGCCATTACAGCACTAAAATAGCACAAAAGTCCCCAGAAGAAGCAGTTACAGACCTGAGGAAGCAGACACAGAAATCTGAGAACTGGGAAGTACCACCTTGTGTCATAACTACACTCATATATGTAAAACCAAGTCTCCCCTCAAAAAAAAAAAAAAAAAAAAAAAAAAAAAAAATTAACCTTACCAGCCCTGAGAGCTTCTAAACCTACTGCAACACCTTAAAAACACTCAGCTCAACACCTTCCTGGGGGCAGCTTTAATAGGAAGGCTCCTGGTAGCTCTTGGGAGGAACCTCTGCCTGTGTTTAGGGAGGTTTCACTCCTGCCAGCCTTTGTTTCTGCAGAGGTGGATGTTTTGTTGTTTTGTTATAACCAGCTCATCTGGCCTCTTTCCCAGGCAGAACCTCTTGCCTGGGAGACACTTGGGTGTTTGGTTCCAAAATCAGGTCTCTGCTCAGCCTTGGCCCTTCATAACAATCCCCATTTCCTCTACTGGCCCTACACCAGGCAGAAGAGCCAGGCAGGGACTGACCCAGGGTTTGTAATAAATAGTGGAATAAACCCAAAAGGCAGCAAATGACATGCAGGAATAATGCTGCTGCCTCAGAAGGAAGAACAACAGCAATTCCCAACACAAACGAGAAATGCAGGTGCTGAGGGGAGCAGTGCAGCTCCTTGTAACACCTGAGCACAGACATTGCTGCCAAAAGCTTCCCCAGAGCCCATGAGAGCCCTGACTCTCAGCACAGGCTCAGAGTCTTCCTCCTAGGGCAGCTTTTGGGGCTGTTTTGCTGTTCTCATCACTCACATTGCTGATGTTTTGGTGATGAACCACTTGCCTAGGGAGCAAATCTTCCTAAATTTCATGTGTGAGCACTTTAGGCTCTGGGAGATCCCAGGATCACTGGGGCTGGAAAAGCCCTCCCAGCCCATGGATCCCCCCTGTGCCCCATCCCCACCTTGTCCCCCAGCCCAGAGCACTGAGTGCCACGGCCAGGCCTTCCTGGGGCACCTCCAGGGCTGGGCACTCCAAACCTCCCTGGGCAGCCCCTGCCAAGGCCTCACCACCCTTTCCAGCAGGAAATTCCTCCTCCTGTCCCACCTGAGCCTCCCCTGGCACAGCCTGAGGCCGTTCCCTCTCCTCCTGTCCCTTGTTCCCTGGCAGCGGAGCCCGACCCCCCCCGCCTCCCCCCTCCTGTCAGGTAGAAAAGAACCTCGTGCTTCTCCCCCTCACACTGGAGCTGTCACTGAGCAGATCTTCCCTTCTCGCCTCTGACCTCCCTCTCCTCTGCTCCCTCCTCCCCCTCCAGATGAGTGTTTCCCCCAGGTGCAGGACTGGGGTGGTCTCAGATGCCCTGAGCTGTCCTGGCTCTTTCCTGCTCCTTGCCTGGGAATTTCTAATATCTGGTTTGTTTTTGGAACTGCTGATCACTGAACTGTGTTGTAACACTGTCAGAGCAGTGACAGCTTGTTCCTGAGAGATAATTTTCAGCCACCAGCCTGTCATCTTCCATGTGACGTGCCCCGTGCTCTCCCCAGCACATCGCTGCCTGTTCATCTCAGCTGCTTTTGCAGTAAAATCTCCTGGTTTGTTGTTGAGTGACTCAGTCGTACCAGGTGTCACATCCCACTCCCACGTGGAAAGGAGCACCCAAGAGTCGCAGATGCCCGTGGTGAAACAAGGATGGCAAAAGCCAGAAGGGTCCAAAAAACAAAGCTCTCCAAGTTTAATTGGCCAACTCCACCCTCCGTGTGGAAATTGGGGCATGTTTTGGCCTCTCTTTCTAATGGTGAGAGAAACAGAAGAACAGAAAGAAAGAGGGAAGAAGGAGAGTGTGAAAGAGAGCTTGGATAGGAGAGGAAAGGGGATCACCCGTCCTGGCTCCAGCACTGGTCTGACCAACAGGGTGTTCAGGGTCCTGGGGTCCCCCTGCCCAGGCTTTGGGGGGCACCTTTTTGTAGGGAAGTTCCCCCCCCTCCCCCCAGGATCAGGTTTCTTGCTCTTTAGGTAAACGGGTGAGCAGGTGCAGTCCATTCTTCTGGACCTTTCTGGGAATGGCTCGAGGGGTTTTGAGGGTCTTTTGGAGGTCTTGATCCCCCTCTACCAGACTGACCCTCAGCTGACAGTTCGTGCCCCCTCTGTGACCCCCTTCCTGCGCTGGTGCTGTCCTTTGTGTTGTGGGGTCACCACGGACAGGAACAGGGAAGTTGGCCCCAAAAAGGTGCTGTCCCAGAAAGGTGCTGCCCCACCCTGGTACAGCCCCTTCCCGGGCACACCCTGGTGGCCACACCCTGGTGGCCACACCCCGGTCCAACTCTCTTGCTTGAGTGGCCATCGGAGTTGGAGGCACAGCAACACGTTAACTCCTTCCTGCCCGGGCTGCTGCACTGTGGTCTGCTGCAGATTTTTACAGCTGGTCCTGAAGGGATTTAATATTATCAGAAACTTGGTTGACTTGATGTTTTCCTCTCCCTTTCCCAGACAAAATTTGTTGCAAAGCAGAAATCAGAGAACCACAGAAGTTTTGGGTTGGTGGGCACCTTAAAGGTCATTGCCCACCCCCATGCTCTGCCACACCTTCCACTGGCCCAGGTTGCTCCAAGTCCCATCCAGCCTGGCCTTGGACACTTCCAGGGATGGGGCTGATCCAAGTGTGTGTGGATTCAGCCCTTTGTTCCGTTTCCTGTGACCTTGTCCCACACAGACACCGTGTTTGTGGTTGTGCAGATCCCCCCATCTCTCCAAAAAGCCTCTCAGGGTGTCCCATGGGAACGTGCAGACCTTGTCCTTGCAGGGAGGGCTCAGTGCTGCTGGAGATGGCAGATCCCACCAGGGAGGGGTTAGGGGGTCCCACGTGGCTCCCCACTGCCACAGAGGCCACAGGGGTTGTTATGGTCAGAATCATTAATGAGCAAAAAAGCAAAGGTACTGTGTGTATAAAGGCAAGAATTAATTGTTGGTGTCATTGACAGCAGGCCAACACTAAAGTCAGTGTGAGTCCAGAGCCAGTTATTGCAGAAAAAAGAGCTAAATTAATATTTCTCTACAGAAAATAGTAGTAATAATAATAATAAATTAAGATTATGATACACAC